CCCAATACACTGTTCAAATAAAATTTTCTTAATTTAATTATATAGCTCTATTTTCTGTTTTTTTTCTTTTTATCACATTTTTGGTTATTATGAAAATTTGAGTTGGACTATAGTTAGAGAGTGCATATTTTGCGTATGTCCATGGTTGTTTTTATTCATATTCTGACTGATATATATCAGATATCGGCCAATATATCGGATTAAAGTTTTTAAAGCCCCCAATATCGGTATCAGCCTTCAAAATCCCATATCAGTCGGGCTCTAATAAAAGTTTTCTCTTTATCAACGTTAGGCCTGTTTTACCTTCATTGTTTCTAATGGTCCAAATATGTTTACATGCACGCATACTTGTTCAATGTCAGTGTCCCTATGCCTCCTTAGGGCCATAATGGACGCAGAATTGTGAATTTGTGCCTGAATTTAAATTGTGCTGAAAAAATAAGCAAAAACTGCAACAGAAGTTGAGTTCAACACTTGAGAATTCACTTCCCATGTTGTAAATGTTGACATTTGCCTAAACTTCACATATAAAGTTGTGTTGTTGTGTAATTAGAATAAAATCTGTGGGGTTGCACTCGCTATCTGTTGAATTGCATCTTTAAAGATCTACTCTGCAGGTACAAACAAGTTTGCATGTGTTTGCAGGCACATTGTGTATTTGTTATCGGGCATTATGTTGCTTTACAATGCTTAGTTAAGAGTTGGTGAACACCCGCTGTCAAAATGATTTATTTAAACTTTTATCTTGTACTTGATCCACTATAATCCTAAACTGTTACTGTTCATCCATAACTAAACAAATTTGCAAAAGGATGGATTACTTTAGTTAGTACAACTAAATTGCAGTAACAACTGAATTTAAAAATATGTTATCACAGCAGCTGTTAGTATTACAAATAACTAGGGCTGCAACTAACGATTATTCTGCAAATCGATTGATCTGAGGATTATTTTTTCCAATAAATCTATTCATAATCAAAGAGCAAAGGTTCCCTAGAGAAGATTTTTTTACAAAATTAAACCAGGTAAAACTTTTCCACTTGAGTTTGGGATAGAGGATATTGGCAGATGCAAAAGGTTTTTATCTAAAAAGCAAAATGTTAAAAAAAAAAAATTGTTTTTTACAATTTTTGTATAATTGCTGCTCAATGTAGGTCGCTCTGTCAGCTAAAGGCAGGTTTTAAAGTCTCTACAGTCCAATTAACGATTAATTGATTAGCAGATTAGTTGACTATTATTTTAATAATTGATTAATCACAGTGAATCTTTCAGCCCTACAAATAACATATACTTTTTACTGAGTTTATAATTGTTTGCTGCTTCATTCATGTTTTGTTTATGCTATTTTCTGTATTATCATCAGCTGGTGAGTAAATTACCTCTTGATTATAAAGAGACATAATAAAACTAGCATAAACAGTGATGCTGAATCAATACAATTAATCTGGAAGCTAACCATGATGTAATATCAGACTCAAGTTTCGCCACACCCACACTTGCTGTAGATTATAACAAGTTTTCTTTGAGCCCACCTCCCAGTTCAAAGAACATCAACAAACACTTTAATTACATCAGCTAATTCACAAAGGAAAGTATTCTCACACAGCTAAATCTGGCAGAAAAAAAAAAGATTTTCAAAGAAAACACTACATTAAAACATTAAGCTTCTCTGAAGCAGTAGCAGTATAAAAAAGATAAACAGATAAAATGTTCAAATTGAAATAATAAAGGTAAAATCAAAACAAAAGAGTTCCCAGAATATCAAAGAGAAAAGCAACACCCATAGGTTTGTGGAAACAGTTGGGGGGGAAAAGAGATGGAAAGAGAATGCCTCACCCTGTTGGAGATAAAACAGCAGGCTGCAGGTTAAGCAACTATGATAGTAATCAGAGGCATTTTATTTTAATTATAAGCTTTTAAGAATTAAGAAAGATGTTTTTTGGGACAATTTCAATGGTAATAAGAGAGTATAACCTCGTTTAATTGTAGGATATTATACATTTTCATAATTATATTTCTTTTTTAAAGAAAAAAATGCTAATAATGGGAATGGGGTATTTTCAAACATTACCAAAAGGTAGAACTTTAAAGGAACATTCACACCGAACGCGAATTTCGCAGCTGGAGCGATGGATTCCTCTGTTATCTACGACGGAGTATTAGGGCCACACATGAAAAGAAAAAATATTTTTGCCATGACGAGATTAAACTCGATATGTCGACTTTAAAGTCGACATGTCGACATTAAACTAAACATTTCGAGAATAAAGTTGAAATGTCATGTTGAGTTTAATCTCGACGTGTCGACAATAAAGTTGAAATTAGTTCAAGAGAGCCAACCGCTGCACAGGTTACATGCACAGAATCCAGAATCAGACATGCCTTGTGTAGATGATTTGGTCAAATTGTACTTTCTGTGATGATTATACAGTTATACAGTTGCAGCACGTCAAAGACTACCTTCATTCTTAAAACGCAGACTGCAGCTGTGGAGCGCAGTTGCTCTTTTCTCCTAACTTTGGAATGTCGAGATTAAAGTCGCCACGATATATCAACTTTATTCTCGAAATGGCGAGTTTAAAGTCGACACGTCGAGATTAAACTCAACAAGAGATTTCAACTTTATTCTCGAAATGTTGAGTTTAATCTCGTCATGGCAAATATATTTTTTCTCTTCATGTGTGGCTCTAATACTCCGTCGTAGTTATCTATATGTAGAGGAAAGATCTGAAGAGAAGCAAAGTGGAATGAAACTGAGGCGACGGTGATGAAGTTAGGGAGGTGAATGGAACAATTTTGGCAAAGTAGGTGAAATTTGATTGCTGCCTCGCCTGAGAATGCAGTTGAAACAGTCTGAACTTTTGTTTACTTTCAAGTGGATGTACTAGTGGATGTAGAAATGTTATATATACAGATTTAGGAGTTCAGATTTTCTATTTACTTACTGAAAAATGTTTTTACTCAGTCTGTTTTACCTGCAAAGCCAAAAAATATTTGTAATTTGTTAACCTTCACAGCATTTCCATCACTGTAAGGAACAGAGACAAACTGTCTGGAAAGACCAGGGCTGAACATTATGCTGTAAGGGCTGTATACTGTCTTATTCTCTTTTAACTTCGCAAAGTAAAATAAAATACTGACTAAAAAGAAATCCATCGTTCGCCATTTTTTTTATCTGGACTGTATAATTGAATAACTTTTTCCCACAACAAGTGGGAACTGAAAGGATTTGAAATTACACAGAACATTTGTTCAATTATCACTAAGTCAGCAAATGGCATCTAACACATTGTCTAACCAGATATGTAACTTAAATTGAATATATTATATCCTGCCTGAAGCATAAAATGGCAGATTAAAATCTGACTCATTATCATATCAACTCATTATCATATCAACAACGTATAACAGGTATATGAGGGATGTTTTTGTACCACAATGAAAAGAACAACTTATCTGTTTTGCATTGTTTCTGTTATCTCTAAAGAGATGCTCTTCCAGCCTGCGTCTAGACAGCAAGACGTAAAAACCAGTGCTGAGGAATATAGATACAAACCAGCAAGAATGTATCAAGCACTTCGATCAGTGACACATGCCGTTTCTTTTTCCACACACTACTGACCTATGCAGATGGTTTGTGTGCCAACATGTTCCTCATGCAAAGTTTCCATAACAAAGCATCTTTAACAATCCACAATCGGTGTTGTTAAATACAAGGAAAGGTTGTAGAGTTCTGTTACATAAACAGCTAAGCTTTTCTTTTGCAGCCAATTTTAACTCTCATGCTAATTTTGTTGAATAAAAACAATCAACTAGAAACAGAGTGCTGTAGGATCTATGATAGAGATCATAAAATCCAAATGCAAATGCATTAATCAACTGATCAAGAAACTGGAATAATCAGTAAATTTTATTATACAATTTCATTTTTTTTTTGTTTCCTATTATTGTTTTTTTTTTTTTCCAGATACAGGTTAGAGGCTTATACTTACATGTAAAAATAGGGATAATCTTGCAGTTCCTTAATATTCTTTCAGACTCTAAACCCCCTTCAAACAAACTATTAAATTTTTGTTATTTATAGCAATTGGTCAAAATTAAGCTATAAAAATACAGACTCAGAGTAAATCGGTGTCTACTAGGAAAGATTTGATCAGGCATATAGGAGGGGAAAGAATCGTGTTGTTTTAATTAGTTTATAGACAGAACATTGCAAGAGTTGTTTGTTTTGATGGATTTTAAGTAAAACGTAAATTAAATCTACTTTTCGGGAACCAGTTTCCTGAGATCACTGATAAAATATAAAACAATCTATAATTTCTCACACAGGATGAGGGATCACTTTTGTTTTTATCTCAGTACAGAGAGAGAGAGATTTGGGACATTTCGTTTTTCCAACAAAGTAAACATGAACGATTAAAAAACCACACGACTTGAGGGTCTGACAGCTATCCAACCCTGTAGTTTAGATGAATATTCTTAGGTTTGTCTACATTTAGAGTGAATACAAATCAATACATAGCAAGTTTTCGTGCAATTGACAGCTCGATCAGTAGAAGGAATGAGGAAAGACTAGTAATCACCAGCTTCCCTGGACAACAATTACAGGAATCCAGTCTGAGAGCAGACACGTTGAACGATCTGAGGGTGGAAAAACGGCTTCTGCAAAGAAATGTCAAATTATAGCCTGTCTAACCTCTGATGTTTGTCCCATCTGTTCTAACAGCTGAGATTCAGCACCATGAAGTTTAGCTAACATTATGTAGCTGCGAATTTTATTTATATCCGAATCGAAATGATGAATAGACGATGGTAAATGGAGGCTAAACACAGCAAAACGCTGGCCTGCATACGTAACCAAAGTGTCATTTTCCTCTAGCCAGCTAACGTTTCCTCTGTTAGCACCGGAGCTATCGTTAGCTTTTCAATGCTAGCTAGTATCGCCGCGGCGCCGGAGAGCTGTCTGTCACAAATAAAAACACCCTGGTTTAATTACTGACCCATGTCAGGAGACTTTCACATAGTTCCATTCGGTCCAAGGACTCTGAGGTACTCATGGTTAGTTCACGTAGGCTGGCTGACTGCGTTTTGAACGGAGCCCGAACTTAGCAGCGAGCTTCATACAGTCCAGAGGGCTCTGCTCTGCCTGCTCTAGGGTGTCTTCTTCTTCTTCTTATGGGATTTTATGGCGGTTGGCAGACTTGTGAATTGTGCATTACCGCCACCAACTGATATGGAGTAAAGCAAGATAACAGGAAACGATTCACCCCCCCCCCAAAAAAAAAAAAAAAAAAAAAAAAAAAAAAAAAAAAAAAAAAAAAAAAAACCTGTGTAACTTAAACCAACATAATACTAAATCACATTTGCCCATATAATTTTAATTTACTCTAGGTCATCTTAACTCTGCCAGTTTCTGATGGTCCCATCGGTCCTCCCATCATACTTCCAACCATCTCCCAGTTCAAATCTTTAATGTCCAGATATTTTTCTGCAGCCTTCACTATTATTTTGATTTTTTCCGTTTTTTTTGTTGTCTGTGCAGTACAATTAATTACTTCTACCATGAAAAGAACAAAATTTGTCTTTTTAACAATAAGTGAGTCTTCATTAATTTTTGGAGATTTCTCTAGAGGTTTGGAATTTGCTGTGTGTTGAACTGTAGGTTTGGGTTTTTCTGACTGAGATGGGATCCTTTTTGCAGCTTCAGCGTAGGTTATTCCGAGCTCAAATTTCATTTTTTTAATTTCCTCAGACCTTTTGCTTGCTTCACAGCCGCGATAGGCAGCAGTATGTTCTCCACCACAATTACAGCATTTTATTTTAGCTTCTTTTCCACATTTTCCGTACTCATGTTCTCCTGCACACCTTCCACACCTCTGTTTCCCTTTACAAACTGCTGCAACGTGACCGAATTTTTGGCATTTGAAACATCTCAATGGTGGAGGATTGTAGATTTTGACATTATAGCTTATATAACCGATGAATACTTTGCTTGGTAATTGCTCTTCTTCGAATTTAATTAGCACAGATAAACTGTCAGATCTTTCTCCGTTTCTTGTTGTTTTTAACCGTTTTACTTCTTTTACTTTTGCACCGCTTATGTTTTCCAGAATCTCTTTTTCAGAAATTTTTAGAGGAACTCCTCCAATGACTCCCCTGCTGATCTTTTTGTTCTCCATTAGGCTGCACTGAACTCTTATCCCGTCAATTTTGTTAATACGTATTGCTTTGCCTTGCTGGGCGCTGTCTCTGCAGTTAATTAGCAGGTCTCCACTGTACAGAATTCTGGCACCTTTGACTTCTCCGACAAGTTTATTGATGGTTTTTGTTAAGTGAACCGGATTCCAATTTGTAAAAGAGTCTGCCTGATTAACGACTTTGAATATGACTTTGAATTCATTTTGTTGTGCTGTGGAATGTATGGAATGATCATCACTGGATTGTTCTGAACTAGATTCCCCTTGAACTGATCTCTGTTTTTTCCGCTTTTTCTCATTTTTTGATGTTGCTATTTTCCAACCTTCATTGTCACTATTTCCCTCTTCCATCCCACAAGAATCGCTTCCTGTTTCCTCACTACTCACGGCCCAAGACATTTCTCCATAAGCAGCTTCAAAACACGCGCCATGCACCAAACGACCATCCACCGAGCCTCAAAACCCTAAGCCAACACCTCTGCTCTAGGGTGTCTCACCAATCCGTCGGCCAGAGGTTGGGTCCGCTGCTTTGCCCAAGCCGGTGCCTATCGGAGGCGGCGTGGGCGGAGATAGTCAGCAGAACTTCAAATTGAACTTCAGAAAGTCGATTAAAGAAATATTATCTTGCCATATATATTACCATTTGTTTTATCTAAATAAATAAATTAAATTACACTGTTTAGTGAAACATTAGTCATAACTTTCAAGGTTTTTCAAATGTCCTTAATTTACAACCACAAATGGTATTATAGTTGTATTTAATAAAACAAGTCATGTGGAATGTTGGTGAAATAAAAATAATACTTTGTCAAAGTAAAAGAAAAAGTTAAAAAGTGTTATTTCGATATTTATATGCAATCCCTTTGTAATGTCTAACTAGTTTTGGTGAAGAGTCTGATCTGATCCTTCAGAGGTGTCAACTAACGAAGTACAAATACTTTGTTACTGTACTTAAGTACGCTTTTTAGGTATCTATACTTTACTCCATTACTTATTTTTCTAGATAGACCTGGCCCAGTTCTGCTCATCCAAGATCATATGACAGTGGCTCTGATTTTTCAGGATGAGCAGCAACACACCAAGATAATCGCAGCACTGGTATGACAAGTATTTCGGCTATTATGTAATGGTGAAATACATGATACAGGGTAAGAGCTGACATTTCAGGGGTGTTTCCACTTATGAATAAGTTTCTCTCCAAACCAGTTCTGAGGGTCTAGAAAGCTAGGTGTGTATAATACTTAAAGTAGGCTGGTTTTGGGGTCAGAACCAGAAATTAATGTGGAAGTTGCTCAAACCTCTGATAAGACTATGATTTACTCAGGGTTTGATTGTCATTTTGGGATGTGAAGCACCCTTTTTTATTGAAATAGATCAAAATTAAATTATAAAATTCCAAACAGAACTAGGTATTTAAAAGGAACTTTCCTTTAAATCACTATATAGGATAATTTATCTTCTGTTGGAGAAACTGACAAAAAGAGTGCGTTTTTTTTTTCAAAAAATATAGCACCAAGTAACAAAAAACAAAAAAACAAATAAGGCATTAATTGATGGAAGTGGAAATACATTTGGAGATTTGAAAAAAAAATGTTTCGTAAATTTGCTTGTTTTTTTTAACCAAATGTTCCATGGTAATTTGTTCCATTAAAAATATTAAGATAGCACTACAGTATAGCATTTTTTGTAGTTTCTGTTTTTGTTTCAGGAGGAAGGGGAGGGGATAGGTTATGTGGTATTTGGTCATGTGACAGTGATTGTCATGCAGCTTAGGATTGCTTAGAAACGGTAGTAGCACTGTGGGCAGTCTTTCATGGTGTCCAAAGGGTAGAGAAAAACATGAATCATTCTTACACCTCGTTTTATCTACTCTGTATTGCTGAACAAATACTGCAGAGGGCAACCATTTCATCTTTTCCATTTTACAAATAAAGGATTGAGGAAAAATAGAAAGCTGGCTCTTTGGTTTAATACAGAGCTACGCATTTTAAAACAAAATTCTAGGAAAACGGGAGAGAAAATTAAGCTCTACATGCCTACAAGGACCCTAGCTAGTCTGGAAAAACTATTGTATAAAATGACCCTTCATTATAATATTTTACTTTGATATTAGAGGAGAATAAATATGATCCTAGATTTCTTTTTAATACAGTTGCCAAACTCACCCAGAGCATAGCTCAGTTGAAACATCCATCCCATCTTCTCTTAGCAGCAACGATTTAATAGGGTTTTCTATATGCATAAGATTCATTCTAGTAAAAAAAAAAAAAAGATAATTAGTACCATTCTAAATAAGATTGGTTATAGACCTGGGGAGCAGTGTGGGGTTAGAGGTCTTTGCTCAGGGACCCAGAGTGGAAGTCTGTGGGAGTGGGCCTAGAACTCAGAACCTCATGATTCCAAGCTCTATGCCCTAACCAGTAGGCCGCCATTCCCCGTTCGGGGATCAAAGCTCATATGCCTGGTTGTGAGTTTCCTGGACGGGGCTGCCTGTGTAGCTGTTTAACAGTAATTTTTTTTTTATCTCTACTTCTGTCTCCTTGAACCCCAGTCGGCCTCAGCAGATCACCGTTCACACTGAGACTGGTTCTGCTGGAGCTTTCTTCCTGTTAAAAGGGAGTTTTTCCTCTCCACTGTCACTACAAGCATGTTTGATGTGGGGGATTACTGAAGAGTCATTTAGTTGCTTCAATCAGCTGGTTTTCCTTAGACAAAAAACTTTCAACCAATCTGGCTGTATGATCCGATTGAATTGTATCTGTAAAGTGCGTTTAGATGACTTGGTGCTGTGAATTGGCATTATAGAAGTAAACTGAACTGAACAAAATTCCAGAGAACAAAAAGTTTTCTCTCCTACCATCACAAATGTAAATATGTGGGGCTATGAATCTCCAGATTAATATAATTTTTGTGATTAAAAGGGAATTCCATTTAATTAAATACAGTTCAATACTACTTCATTAAACTCAAAGGGGCAATTCAATGTTTAAGTAAATCATGGGCAGTTTTTGAATGAATTGTTGCAGGTGTTGATAGATGTTGGCAGGAATTATCTGGTGTAGCTGTTTGTCTTGCACCAGATCTGATGCTTAACAATCTTCTTCTAATGCTCACTGCCGTCCACAGAGGTCTTCACTTTACTCCAGAGGCACTAGACAAGTTCCTTGGGAAGAGCCAGCCTTTTTTGTTACCTTGTTAATCTTAAGTAATTTTCTCTGATGCTGTAACCCCAGCAGATGATGGCAGAAGAGATCACACTCTCGGTTATAGACAGATAGAAAATATGCAGCATCTTGCTGCAAATACTGAAGGACCTAAATTTCCCTTAAGTACATTCTGCTCTGTCCCCTTTTGTGGACGGCTTCACAGTTGCATCTCCATTCAAGTTTGCTGTCCAGGTTAGTCATACCCTTCAACTTCATGTCCCATGATGTTAATAGCATTTGAAATGTTCCTGGTTATTTTTCTGAAATCTACAACCCTCTCTCTTGTTTTGATGACACTATAGTCATCCAAGTGTTTCTGCAGATTACAGGACTCTTTCGCGTATTGGAAATCAGAGGTGTAAATAGCAAAAAGGAATGATAAGAGTACCATTCCCTGTGGTTCTCCTGTGCTAAGAACTTACAGTTGACACATCAGTCTGATCTCCTGACAATGCATTGGAGAAATCAAAGAACATGATCCGTACAGTGCTGTCTGCCTTGTCTAAATGACAATGGGTACCATAAATGTGGTCAGGGATCTGTTTTTCTGAGGGCTTTTTTTCTGCAAAGCTTGTTAGGGCACAGAGTATTTGCAAGATGAAAAAAAAGCGTTCGTTCTACAATACAAAAGACCTTTATTGGACCTTTTAGTAGAACAATGTGAAATGTATGCCCAAATAAACCCAGTAGTTTCCCAAAATGTTTCCCCCCTCATGTCAGTGCATGACACCATATTATATGAGAGATCTGTGGGTTGAACTGATAAAACAAGACAATCATTTAGTTAAGATTAAGCTAACTATACTGTTGAGTCCTGTCTGCTTCAGATGTTAAATGCTGATCGACACAGAGGTTGTGCATATGGAAAATATTAATATCAGTGATGAGTGCATTTATACTTCTTACTGGCACTGTGTTAATTGTCCTGTATTTCACTAAGGGTATGAAAAATGTAGGACGGACAACCAATCACTCCACAAACATTTTTGATTGATTTTGTCAAAAAGAAATACATTTTTGAAATACTCCTAAATGTAGTTAGATCTTTTTAAAGCATTGCTTATGATCCAACTTTAATAGAATATGATTTTAAGACATTTAACACATCTTTTCAAGGAATGTCAATGACAATGTACATGTGCTTTTAAAAAGCAAATTAAAAACTTTATGTGGATTAAATTTAACAGCAGATGGAAGCAAATGATATGCCTTTCCCTTTAAAAATCATTGCACAAGATCAAATTAAAACAATTAAAGATATTTGTTTTTGCCAGTAATAAACACATAAGGCAGCCTTTTATATTTCCCTGTCACATCTACTCATTTTTAAATTTATGGAGTTGAAAGTCCAAAATGTGAAAATAATGGCTGAACATGCTCTGCACAAACAAATGCAATATCTTCCACATACTTCTTCAGCAGCAGCACACTCCTAAATTTAACATGTTTCGTCCTATGAAGAAAGTATATTCATATGGCAAACCTATCTACAACTTTCAATAAAGAGATCTGCATTATATGGTTAATTTCAACTGTTAAAATATATAGGAAAAACACATTTTTAAAGAATAAAAAAATCGGATTTCTTGGCACAATTAACCAAATTAACTATTAATAGAATGACAGAAAACAACAAATTGAATTCACATTCATTTTTAGATCATTTACATTCAAAACTGTCTGCAATAATCAATTTTTACAATGGGTTTAACAGAAAGAGAAACTCATGCAAGACGGCAATAAGCATTACCTGACTGCATGCAGGAAGCAGGATTTGATCACCGAATCCTAAACTGTCCACTTAAAAAAATAAAGATTTTTTTTTTACAACCCATTTAACAATCATTTTTCAAGTCACCATGAAATATGCATAGTTACTGATTAGTGTATTGACAAGTCAGCTTAAACAGGTAATGTGTAATAGGTAATAGTCATTCAACAATTTTTCTTAAAAGTGAGAATCCACACGGACAGGTTACATGTAGATTGATAATTATGTGAATTTTAGGATGTTATTACATTGCAAAGTTGATCATATTATGCTGATATCCACATAACTGTATAGTCAAAAATGTGCAAGTCTTAAAGCAATTCTTTATTTAGACATTTTAATTTATTCTCAACTCTTGTTTAACCTTAGCCTGGGTGCCAGTCCGAACTTAGTCCCGCCCACAAGGTTTGAGTTCGGGGAAGTTCGGTCTGGCTCTGCTCCATAGTAGCGCGAGTATTAAAGCCCACTGTCAGGCGATCCAATCAAATTGTCAGGGCGGGCTTTATACGATGATGGACAGATGATCAACAGTAACGTTATCAACCACGTGACCAATGCGCGCTCGGGTGACAACAATAATGGCTGCCGCTGGAGAGTTTGGGTGAGTAGATTCTGCTATTAGGTCTGTTCTAGAAGATATCGACAGCAAATTAATTTTAAAAGAGGAACAGAGAAACGCGATCAAGTCACATCTTCTTATTATAGGCGTGAAACTGCACGCTTTGATTTTTGTGGACAACTATGCCTCGCTTAAGATACGTCACGCACTCCGTTGCTCTTATTGGTTGTAGGTCTATCCAATTGAGTGCAGAGGCATTTTTTTTCCTGGTTCGTTCAAAACACGCCCCATAATCACAGCTCTATGGAGCAGTATCAGACTCATATTCTGACTAGAATTGAGTCGGACTACGTCAGGCTAGTTTAACCTGAACTCCTTTAAACTTTGAATTTTAATGGGAACTTTTATATCGAAACTCAACATTCACTATGCTTTGCTAACCTCACAGTCCATTTAATTAAAGCAAAGCCCTGAGAGAAAAATCCCCATTTTATTACCAAACTCCCCTCACATTTCATTTATTTTCTTTTTTTCTAAACACATCAAAGTCACATATTCATTTCCATTTTCCCACAGCATCCTTATTCTAGCCGTTCAGTCTCTGCGTAACCACTTCTCTGTACATGATGGAGATGTACACAAACAGGAGGAGGATCACGAAGAAGTCGTCCATGAAACCCAGAAGGCCAAAAAGCGCTTCGGGGAGAATGTCGAGTGGCGAGGCCAGGTAGGTAATGGCACCGATGAGGCAGAGAAGAATTCGAATCCGGAACATCCAGAAAAGTCCGCCCAAAGAAAACATCTCCCTGAAGGCATGACGGAGAAGGGTGGGGACGTCGCGCAGCCTATCCATGATCTACAGATGAGAAAAAAAAGGAAAACAGACATTATAATAATAATGTAAGGACTTATAAGCTGGTATGACATAGGCTTTGGGAAAATATCCCTTTTTAAGAAGTTGCCTTTGCATAAACCTTATAGCAGCACAAATGTTTCACCTTTCACTAACATTATCGATCTTAGTCTTTCCTAATAACATGTCTCAAAGATAAAACAAAGATTTAAGGAAACTTTTGACAAAATCTCTAAATTATTCAGGGTCTTCAGTCTCTTAAGCTGTTTTTGCAAAACTAAATAAAAACTAATGGATTATAAAAAGAATAAACATACAAAATATAACAGTATTGTAAAGGCAAAACTTATTTGTACCCCCGACAGACACAGATTTTAATAATCTTAATTCAACCACGACAAGTAGGTTCTTTGTTTCAGAAAAAAACAATTTAGCATCTAACTAAAATCAGTTTTGATTGAGAAAAAAAAAGATTTTTTTTTTCTATAATGTTAAAAATCGTATCATCTTCGTCTCAACAATAAAAACAACTTTTTGCCATCATGCTAAATGCCTATTTTTTTTACTGTTTTCTCTTCGGCCTCCAAAGTTTTTGTTTTGTATACACTCTGCGCAGACAAAATGACAATAAAGGCTGTTCAAGTCTAAATGTTCCCATTTTCAGGCAGAAGAAACAGATTGATAGAATAAAATTAAAACTTTTAACATAAATCACTCGGGGATAGAAATGCAGTTTGTTTCTTTGTTTTATTTTTTTATTTTATTTAAAACATTTTTAAAATGAGGACTCATGTTACATGTTTCTTTCTGCATACATGTAAGGTTGTGCTACTCTTACCAAAAATGAAATCACTAGGTTATCATCCATTGTAAATACAAATATAATGATGGGTCCTGTATGCTGCTCTAAATTTCAGGGCTATGCACAAATTAATAGCTTAGATAAAGAAATTTGAAAATGTAAAAATAATAAACATTTTAATACACTTTGAATACCTTTATATTTCAATGACAATAAAAGTAGTTTTGCAAAACACAATTTAAAGCAATTTAATTTGTTTAAAGAGAAAGGGAGACTCACAGATCTTGGTTGGCCAGAAAATCTGCGATTATAATCATTGATGTCTCGTAAAATAAGTTGAGGCTCTGCCTCGCCATCCTGCACCCTCTGAGGAGCAGCGTGCTCGTGAAACAATGGGAAGAGCAGAGTTACCTGGAAAGACAGAAGAAAATTTTATCAAAAACACAAAAACTCTTAAGTTTTTAGACAAAGTATGAAACACTGAAATGCAATCATTCACCATTTGTCTGCAGATTGGGCAGTTGACTGCACCCAGCCAGGTGCCATACCGCCAGTAAGCTATAACACAAGAGCCTAGGCAAAAAAAAAAAAATACATAAAAAAGCAGAATTTATGAGAAGATTTACGCCGTATTAATATGAATAAATAAATACTCCAGTCTAATTTCACCAATAATGCAAGTTAAACATAAATTTGTGAAACATTAGTCGTGTTTACCACAGAAAAGGTGTCCACAGTTGGTCTCCACAGGCAGCACAGCCTGTTGTAAACACACAGGGCAAGACATGTCTGTGTAATACTGCTGTCTGGCCTCTGCCTGCGGATTTTCATCCTAAGGAAAAGAAGAACAGAAATATGAAGCATAAAATTCCAAAAATAATCCAGTTATTAAACAGATAATAAAATAAGTAATCCTGGCAGTCAAAATGGGTTATATCTGTAAACAATTAGTTTTTTAATAAACATCTCTTACTTCCCTTGCTTCTATTTCCAGGGAAATGTTTTAAGATTAACAATAAAAAAGAAAGTTAACTTAAAAAAAATTAAGAAAAGTTTCTTTCAAGATTTGTATCAAAAGTATCTGATCCATTTTGCTGCATAATGTGATGTGTTGAAATTATTGGAAAGAAATCAAAGTGATTAAAAGTATTTTTCTTTTTGCGCTGTTTCATCTGTTTGCAGTTGCTAAATTCATCGATCGGGAAGAATTTGAGCTGCGTTACCCTCCATACCTGCTCAGTTTGAAGCTGTTGACGGACTGCTCGGACATGTTCCTGATTCTCAGGATGAATATTTTGCTCCTCGTGTCTGGAAAGGACAAAAGGAATCTTTTTAATGATTATATAGATATTTTGCAACACAGTATTTCAGAAAAGGATTTCTGAAAACACCTAACAGATTACAGGAGGTTCATATATATATATATATATATATATATATATATATATATACACTATATTGCCAAAAGTATTTGCTCACCTGCCTTGACTCACATATGAGCTTAAGTGACATCCCGTTCCTAATCCATAGGGTTCAATATGACGTCGGTCCACCCTTTGCAGCTAGAACAGCTTCAACTCTTCTGGGAAGGCTGTCCACAAGGTTTAGGAGTGTGTTTATGGGAATTTTTGACCATTCTTCCAGAAGCGCATTTGTGAGGTCGCACACTGATGTTGGACGAGAAGGCCTGGCTCTCAGTCTCCGCTCTAATTCATCCCAAAGGTGTTCTATCGGGTTGAGGTCAGGACTCTGTGCAGGCCAGTCAAGTTCATCCACACCAGACTCTGTCATCCATGTCTTTATGGACCTTGCTTTGTGCACTGGTGCACAGTCATGTTGGAAGAGGAAGGGGCCAGCTCCAAACTGTTCCCACAAAGTTGGGAGCATGGAATTGTCCAAAATGTCTTGGGATGCTGAAGCATTCAGAGTTCCTTTCACTGGAACTAAGGGGCCAAGCCCAGCTCCTGAAAAACAACCCCACACCATAATCCCCCCTCCAACAAACTTTACACTTGGCACAATGCAGTCAGACAAGTACCGTTCTCCTGGCAACCGCCAAACCCAGACCCGTCCATCAGATTGCCAGATGGAGAAGCGCGATTCGTCACTCCAGAGAACGCGTCTCCACTGCTCTAGAGTCCAGTGGCGGCGTGCTTTACACCACCGCATCCGACGCTTTGCATTGCACTTGGTGATGTATGGCTTGGATGCAGCTGCTCGACCATGGAAACCCATTCCATGAAGCTCTCTGCGCACTGTTCTTGAGCTAATCTGAAGGCCACATGAAGTTTGGAGGTCTGTAGTGATTGACTCTGCAGAAAGTTGGCGACCTCTTCGCACTATGCGCGTCAGCATCCGCTGACCCCGCTCCGTCAGTTTACGTGGCCTACCACTTCGTGGCTGAGTTGCTGTCGTTCCCAAACACTTCCATTTTCTTATAATACAGCTGACAGTTGACTGTGGAATATTTAGGAGCGAGGAAATTTCACGACTGGATTTGTTGCACAGGTGGCATCCTATCACAGTTCCACGCTGGAATTCACTGAGCTCCTGAGAGCGACCCATTCTTTCACAAATGTTTGTAAAAACAGTCTGCATGCCTAGGTGCTTGAATTTATACACCTGTGGCCATGGAAGTGATTGGAACACCTGATTCCAATAATTTGGATGGGTGAGCAAATACTTTTGGCAATATAGTGTATATATATATATATATATATATCTTGAAATTGATTATTATTAGTGAGACCTTTACAATCTAACAACTGGTAGTTCTGGACTGAAGAAAGAGCTGGACAGACTTTCCTTGTCAATACCCCAGTTCAGACATGGAGGACTTCCATGTCAGGGTGACTTAAAGGTATAGTGGAGGATTTTCGAAAGTTTTAGAAAAGATCAACCCTCTTTACTTTAAAAAAAAAAAATGCACATGCACAACCCTGTAACCGCTTCCGAGAGGAAATCCCTATTAAACATGTGCAAGAGTGTGCACAAGCCCATTTCTCCTGGTTTTAAAAGTTTGCATCACTCATAAAAGCTTACTTTTCAAAAGAAGATTTGCAATTTTTCCACTACGTCAGACTCACCACCGGCAAGTGAAAATGGGGACAAGCACATGGGACGGCCTTATGTAAACATTAGTGATGGTGACATGAAGCCTCGTGAGGAATTTAAATGTTTTCATAAATTGCTGCAACGCTCACCACAATTCATGAAGCTTCATGTGAACATGTTACCACCTGGTGGAATGTGTAACTACAGTTAGTAATATGATAAGTGATATTTTTTGCAATTCTTTTTCTTGTCCCCCCTCCATTTAAGTGCCTTTGAAAGTGTTAATGATTGGTCTGTATAATAAAATGTTTTGTAAGTATTTTGTGTGTAATGTCTTAGAGCACACCCCTCCATTACTCGACACACGCATCTAAGCCGCGGCTCATCTCATAACATCACCTGAACGATTGACAATTAGGAGGACCACTTATTTAAAAGTAAAAGAAAATCCTCCACTATACCTTTAACCAACTGGAAAAATGAGGATCCATTTGCAATCTGTTGCTGATAACTGCTTTATAAGGAATATTTCGGTTGCTTTTAGAGAATTCTACAAACTCGAAATCCAAGAGAAAAAGAAAATAATTGTGGTATTTTTATGGGGGACTTGAAGAAGCAGACAGTGCAATTAAATGTTTCTTAGTTTTTCAATGTTTTGGCCATTTCAGAAAAAAAATCGCCAGATCTGTCACTTTGTAAAAAAAAAAAAAAAAAAAACGGAACTCAACAATCAAAAACAAATGTTGATTTGGTGAAGTTTTTTTGACATAAAAAGAAAAAATATTCCAATTTTAGCTCAATCTTTGTTGATCTGACAAAACTGTTTACCTGCAGAGCAGAGTGAGGATGCCTGCCAGAAAGGTGAAACTGACGACCACAACAAACAACACCTGGTTGCTAACACCCTCGATGATAGTGTCGTCATCTTGGATCAGGTAGTCCAAGTCCCCACTATGACCATCCTCCATTATCCACACTCATACCCTGCAACTCTAAACACAGGGACAAAGCAAAGGGTATCATTTTCACAGTTTCCTTTTACTCTTCATTATAAAAATTCACATTTGTAACAAGCAGAATGACGACCACCTCTAAACTTAGTATCAATAACTAAGACAGACTTTATAATCACTTTGTACACAAAAAGAAATTTCATTCAGTACAACTCTCAAGAGGTTTTTCATTTTTTGAAGTGCAGTCGTGATAAAGGTAAGAGATCATGGAAACATGCAACTGTACAATAAGGATATTTTTTTAAATCACACCAAGCCCAGCATATGATATAACCTACTTTTTTACTGTATTTGGTAAAAGTAATTAGGAAAAAGAAACACACTAAGTAAGCTCGTAATTATTGTTTTAGGAACTATGCTTTAATAAGCCTGTAAATTAAACTGCACACATCTTTCCAGGACTTACCTAAGTTAGGATTTTCCTGCCTTATAGCCACAAAAAGTAGTTTATTCATTAGGAAGACAGACTGATAAACCAGCTGTAAGCATACTTAGAAAAACTTAAACGTTTTTTCTACATTTAAATCTATTTTAGTAGTTTCCAATAATGCATAGAATATTTATTTTGATAATTGTTTAATCGATCAATTACTTTTTTCAATTTATAAACTAATAACTGCATAGAAAAAGATTCCTTTAATGAGATTTCATACAGAATTAAAACCAGATGAAGCTAAAGCTGTTTGGATAAAACATATTGATTGGGATTTTTTTTTTTATTATTATCTTGAATGCAAAATCTTTATATATTTCTAGCAATTTTTGGTACAATTCCTGCTCTTAATCAATTGCTCTCTGTATAGCTAAAATTCACAATTAGGACTAAATTAGTTGAGGACTAAATATGTCAGTAAAACAAAGCCTTTTGTGGCTGCTTGCCAAAGTATTTTACTGTATGATCTAATTGTTAAATGATGTGATTGCCAAACAAAACATAAATGTATTGTTAATGTAAATGTTGGCCCCCCCAAAAAAGACAAGTTTCCTATAAATAAAACTGCAGATGATGCATTTAAGGAGAGGCTGTTGCATCATTTTCGGGATATTCCGATCTTAAAAGTCCGCTATTAAATGGGCGGGATCAGACTAGTTTAGACAGGTAGGAGAGGAGAATTGGAATCGTTTAATGAAGTATATAAACTTTTAACCGTCTGACCAAAATTACCTTCGAGTAGCAGCTGTTAGAGATGAAAAATCAATAAAGATTGACTTCAGCAGCGTAGCTTTAAACGTTAAAATGTTGATTGTAGACTATATTTACCCCGAGCAGGATACATACCAATAACAAATCCACCTTCACCCGGATATCCTTCTTCAACCTGAACATGTCAACTCCATTCCCCCAACCTAGACATTTTAATGTTCCCAGCGATGGCTTATTTCAGACAGTTAGTCTAGCGAGCTTATTAATTATCATTGCACGGCTGTGTTGCATGTTAAAAGCTACGGGCTCAGCTTCTTCCTTTATTTCTACTTGCTCCCTCTCCTTGTTCACTTCCTTCTGTTAGGACGCATTTGCGCCACCTACTGTGCTGGAGTTGAAGCTACAGGTTTAGATATGAAAAAGAACGTCTTGTAAAAAGTTAAAAATAAAAATCAATTGATAAAAAAATTGTAAACAGATGGATACGTTTATGAATTAATTTAAAGTGGGACGTACACAGTTGAAACTGGATATGTATTTTAAGTTGTTACATCCATGCTTATTTTGCGCAGTTTTATCTTAGTTAAATTGACATGCTGCTGTCATTTTTTACATCTCTGATGTTGCTGCTATTTTTCAAATATCCATAGCTGTAAAAAGGTCCATAGCTGTATAATGGTTATTTTATTCTTCAGGTACACATTTATATATTGTTAAAATACTTTACAGTATTTTATTGTTTATCTTTTAACACTAGTATGTTATTCTTTTCCATTTTTCTAAGGTCCATATTTGTGTGACATTTTTTTCTATAATCTTTTTGCTGCTGAAAACACCAGAATTTACCCATTGTGGGACAATAAAGGGAATTTCTGTTCTATTCTATTTTTTCTTTCCATTTTCAAAACAATAACAAATGTACTGTAGAGGATTAGGACCACTGAAAAAAATAAAAAAACTTAACTGATTTTAAAATTTTCTTTCAGTTTAATATGGGAAAAAAGTCCGAATTCTAACTTTAATCTCAGAATTCTGACTTTAATGTCCGAATTATTACTTTAATCTTTAATGAGAATTTTGGATCTTATTGTAAATGGGCACCATAAAGGAAGAGATGTGGAAGCACTCAGCTTCACTGACAAAGAAGTGAGTTGTTTGAGAGGGCCAGTGACACATTGGTGGAAAATTACGGAATTAGGCAACTTTTTACATGCCCGAGGGGTCCCTGGTGATGCTATTTCATTAATGGAAGAGCAGAAGGTGATTAAAACAAGAGAGCCCTCTCTAAAACAAACATGACTAAGGCTCGATGCTAAAATGTTTGTTAGCTGAGAAAATTCAGTCAGAATTCTGAGGAAAAAGTCAGAATTCTGAGATTAAGGTCAGAATTCTGAATTAAAAGTCACAATTCTGATTTTTTTTTTCCATATTAAACTGAAATAATATTTAAAAATCTGTTAACTTTTTGGATTTTTTCAGTGGCCCTAATCCTCTTCCGTACAAATATGAACATTTAGATCACTTATATAAAAAATAATAATAATAATCATTATTACAGAAGTAAAAGTGGCTTTTATTTTATTTTATTTTATTTAAATGAATATTTCCCTACAGCTTGCGAGAGAGTGCTATTTTACACTCTAACCAGTAGATGGCAGTAGTGGTACCCATAGCGTGTTGTCCGCAAACGAAGAGTAAGAGTTAGTGAAACAGTGGTACTAAAGTGTTGTGCTAATTGTAGTGAGTTTAACTTTCGTGGCAGTTCATAAAGGGTGAAAGTCAGAGGGAATAAGATTTTACACCAGAGGTAGAATATGCCTCGTTATGCTCAGTTAATTATGGGCCCTGCTGGAAGCGGCAAGGTAATTTATGCTAGGTTGTTCGGCTAACGTGTTATCTAGCATGAGGTTGTCCCGTCTTCTAGAAAGAGAATAATTTCTCACTACGTTTCCTAACGGTTTTTGTTTTTCTTTCTCAGAGTACCTACTGCTCCACCATGGTTCAACATGCAGAGACTTTAAACCGCTCAGTTCAGGTGGTCAACCTGGACCCAGCTGCTGAATACTTTGATTATCCTGTCATGGCAGGTCAGTTATACTTGGAATTTATATCAGAAACGAACGCGTTTTATTATATAATTGCAAGATTGATGACATAGAATGACATTCTGTTTGGTATTAATGGTTAAGGGTGAGAGCTTAAGGAGAAAATAGTACTGAAGCTTCTAAAAGCACCTTTAGTGCAGTAATCAGAGGTATAATCATGGTATTTTAGGGGTGGGACATCATTTTCAGTCATATACTGAATTATATATCCCTCTGCTTAATGCTTAAGGAATCAAATACTCAACAATCACCTACTGTAATTCTTTAAACTAACCAAATGCATTTTTTTTAGCTATCAAACTGGCTGAGGTGTCACAATGATCCTCTGTCATCTAAAGGTTAAATAACAAAACCATTCAGTGCTAGGCGACAGCCCCCAAAAAATGAGAAACAATCAGTTAAGATCTACCGTATTTTAATTATGTAACACAAAGTGTGACACAAATGAAAACATCCCCAATAATAGTGAGAGAATCTAGTTTGTGGTCAATATCAATCAAGCAGCTTCTGGCTCTGTAGATTAAATAAATGATAAAGAGACAAATAAATGAAAAATTTGACAGAACTAAAATACACATCAACCGTAACAATAATCAAAAATATACACAAATTATGTGAATATTACACAAGAAAACCTATAGTTACATTTGTCTAAAAATATGTTAAATCTATTAAACATAAAAAAAATCTGTTATATCTAATACTTGTAAAGAAAACAGCTGATCATAATACATACATTCAAGCATGTCAGTTAATGGTTGCTATGGTAACCATCATCTGTCAGCAGTACCCATAGCATAACTTGCATGCAAATAAATGTCAGGAGAAAATACGTTTTTGATTAAAGAAAGCGAATTATAAGAATAGATGCACCAATTTGTTCACTTCTATAATACTATAATAAAACTAAGCATTACTTAACTCGTATGCCAAACGATTATAATGGTAAACAAAGTCTTAATAAAAGACAACTAAACCCGATACTCACTGAACAATACAAAGATTGATGATCATGTTTGCACTCTATTTGTATTTGAGATGTATTTTTTAATATAAACACAAAATGTATATTTTTTTCTTTTTTTTTTTTTTTTTCCTCCTTACCAGATCAGATATAATCTAGTGTAAATTTTGAGTTTTGTGCAACAGAAGTTCTTGTTGCTCTTATATGAGTGAAACATCCATCCGTCTGTCCAAAATATCCACTGGACTTTTATGTACTGGAATTAGACTGAATAAAATTTTTAGTATAGATTTAAAAAAAGGGACGTTTTGGATGAATCATAATGTTTGATTATAATATCCAGTGATGTTATGAACAATAAAGCAATTCAGTGATTGTGATGATCTGTGCAGAATCGTAATTTTCTCACAACTAGATTTTATCTGAAAGGCACACTCTATTTGTGTTTTCTTAGATATCCGGGAACTCATTCAGGTGGATGATGTGATGGAGGATGACTCTTTGAGATTCGGCCCTAACGGAGGCCTGGTCTTCTGTATGGAGTACTTCGCCAACAACTTTGACTGGCTGGAGGAAAGCCTGGGCCATGTAGAGGATGACTACATATTATTTGATTGCCCTGGTAAATGTGATGCTGTGAATTCAAGCTTCAATAAGTGATGAACCTTCATTAGTTTGGAAGAAACGTAAAAAAAAAAAAAAAACATACACTTACACCCCAGCTTCTTGTTACCCATCTTAACTGCTGTGCATAAGTGCAAAAAAAAAAAAGTTTTGGCATAGTTCAGTCCAATTCCGGAATGTTATTCTGAACTGTGAGGTTATTAATTTAGACTGAATTCTACAACTGAATGAACATCGTGTTTCCACTAAGTAGTTTCTTAAGAATTTCCAAACATGTGTAACCTCATTACTTTAGGTTTTTACTTAAATGTATTGTATTTATCAGTTTAATAGCACAGTGTATAAGTCAGACTAAACTTGGAACTAGTTTACCAATGATTTTTCCTGGTTATGTTGGTTTATATGATTAAAAAGCTGCCATTTTAATAAAGGTCTGTTTTATTCAGATCCACCTTAGGTCATTCTATGGATAAATATTAGTTTTTAATGACTGACAGCTGTTCTAATGCTCTAACAGGTCAGATTGAACTTTACACTCACCTCCCTGTGATGAGGCAGCTGGTGGAGCAGCTACAGCAGTGGGAGTTCCGGGTTTGCGGGGTCTTTTTGGTCGACTCTCAGTTTATGGTCGAGTCTTTTAAGGTAAGTTTTTCTTGGCTGATTTGAAAGATTTTCATTTTTTCCTTAAATAACTTTTTTCTTTATTTCTGTTACTTTATATTATTTTTGAATTGTTACAGATGATACTCAAATTAACCCACGTCTTTGTCTCCCTTATCTTGATCTCTAGTTCATCTCTGGGGTCATGGCTGCCCTCAGTGCCATGGTGTCGTTAGAAATTCCTCAAGTAAACATCATGACTAAAATGGACCTGCTTAGTCCAAAAGCTAAGAAAGAAATCGAAAAGTAAGTATAATAAAACACAGCCTTATTTATCGGATTGTTATATTTCCCTGAAAACTGTTACCAAGATGATCATCTGCTTCTCCACTTAATTGTTGCATGTTATCTATCTGGTTTTAACTATACAGATTCCTGTTTTGCTTCTATATATGTGTTTACTTGTTATGCGTGTTTATATATTAGGTACTTGGACCCAGACATGTACTCCATGATGGAGGACAATTCTGAGACTTTCAGGAGCAAAAAGTTCAAAAAGCTCACTAAAGCAATATGTGGTTTGGTAAGTAGAGTCTTAGTTCAGGTTTTTAATGACATTCTTAGAGTTTGTATTCAGAAAGAAAAAATAAAATAGAAATTCTGTGTTTGCAGATAGATGACTACAGCATGGTGAGATTCCTGCCTTTCGACCGTACAGATGAGGAGGGGATTAATATAGTTTTGCAGCACATTGACTTTTCCATACAGTATGGTGAGGACCTGGAGGTTAAGGAACATAAGGTAAAATACCCTAACTGGGGTACTTACTAAAACCAAAAAAATCTACAATTTTTCAAATGTCACATTTGTGAGGCCTTATGCAAAAGACCAACACAAATAATGTTATTTTAAAGAGAAGTCAGTGAAGTGAGTCATCTTCTATCAATAAATTATTTTGCATTTAGGCCATAAAGTTTTAGTTGGGACTTTCCAGCTTATCTAATTTTATCAAAGACATCTTAGCTGTTTCTCTGATGCCAGAGTACAAAAAAAAAAAAAAAATTCAAGATTGTAATTGTGATATACCTTTAAATAAGCCAATAAAATGCATTCAAAGATGTCAAATGTCAAAAAGTATTTGGTGTATTAATAAGTATGCAAGGCATGTGCTGTATCTCTACACTGTCTGACACCGTTTTTGTCTTATCTGTGTTTATATTCTTTATTTGTAATAATCTGTCAACGTTTCTCTCTACAAACAGGAGGTTGATGAAGAGCAATCCAACTTAAATTACGATGAGATATTTCAAGACAAAGTCAGCAGCTGAGGATTGACTGGACTGGAGTGGGGAAAATGTCACGTTGACACAAACCATTGAAGTTCAACTTGAATGTTTAATATCACTGCATAAATGCTTGACTGTAGACTTGCATGAAAGTCTTTTTTTTTTTTTTTTTTTACAATTAATAAAAAACTCCACTTTATGTTATTTTATTTTAAAATGATGTCCAAGTCTAAATATTTGATAGATTTATTACTGAAATGTATATTTTTTAAATAAAATATTACATAAAATTGACAACTGGCCCCTTTTTTCTATGAGAAAACTATTTGTGAGCGCCCCCTCGTGGCTGCTCCACCATATGACACGTGGCTACTTCCTGTAAAGCTGCAGGGTGGGACAAGCGGAAGCAGCGGCTTGGGGGTGCCTGTACATTTTTCCTGCTGAGCAGTTGGATTGATATTTGTCGTTCAACATGCCGGTGAGTTTCTCAAGTGGGATAATTGATGGGTATAGGCTGAAAGTAAGAAGCTAAGCCTTTGTAGAAATGCGTAAATACCTTTTATAACTGGCTTCCGGTTAACGTTAGCTGAAAACATATAGCGCAGTAAGCTAGCTCCTTTAGCATTCGGTTCATAATTGCTGGCGTTTGACTCGCAAAGTGTACAAATTCAGCTGTGTTATTGCACTGCATTTGAGTTTAGAATATATAAATGTATAATATTCTAGGTGCCCTGAATAAAAAGTCGTGTTTTTTTCAGGGAGGTCGTAAATTAATACATGTATTCGATAAACATAAAGTGACAGGAGTTCCTGTTTTATCTCTATAGGCTTATCACTCAGGCTTGATGGTCCCTGAAACCAGACTGGTGGGGAACATGGCCCTGCTCCCTGTCAAAACACAGTTCAAGGGTCCAGCAAGAGGAGATGGTAAGGGTTTATTTCATCTTTCTGTAGAAATGTGTGCATGCATTAAGTTCCTGATTCATGACTGAGCTTCACTTCCTTATATGGTCTGAATAAAGTAGCTCCTTTCCTCTAACTTCTGCAAAGAGATTTAGATTAATGCATCTCACAGCTGTAAAGTTAAAACATCTGAATGTGGTACTGAGTCACTTTCTAATAATTCAGATTTAATAACATCAATGAGATCAGAGCCAAATCAATAGATATAAGAAATGGGATGTTATCTTCTTTAATGAAAATTCTGTTGTTTTTTTCAGGCATAGATTCTGACATCATCGATGAGGCAATCTACTACTTCAAGGCTAATGTTTTCTTTAAGAATTATGAAATCAAGGTAAGATTTCAATAAATGTATATAAAGGAAATATTTTAGGCTTTAATCTAAGTCATTATTTTCCTTTACGGTTAGGAAAAATATTGATGTGTTCCACTGTCGGTTTAGAAATTTTAAAATATACTAGACAAAAAGTTAAAATACATCCACAAAAATGCTTTAAGTACTTTTGAAGCTTTAACCAAATAAAGTTAAAGAATCATACATTGATGTAAATAACTCCATGCCTCTGTAAGCTTTGTTTGTCCTAGTGGCCATGTTAGTCATATTTCTCCACAGGTCTTGGCTTGCTTCATCTCATTCCTTTCACCCTTCTAAAAACGGGGGAAGAAAAGGGGCAGATGCTCTGGAGTTTTAAGGACACATACCATTTTAGCAGCTCCTTGTTTTTAGCTGTGCTTGTAGCTTATAACTGTCCGATTCACTTCAAAGTATGAAATTTATGAAATAAAAAAAGTGAGCAGTGAAAGCTTACAGTTGTAGGGAAGTCATATTTAAATGCCAAAGCATTCTGGCTTAAACATGTATATAAATATACTCCTTATCAGGCTCCTTATTTTCCCAAAATTTAGAAAATTTCTATAAAAAAAAAAAATCTTGTCTTAAAATCTATCTTATGCAGGCCAATTAGTTATATGTCAGCTTGTACATCTAAATTTCATCCAATCATATATCAAAGGTCATCTGTCAATCAAATTTTTTCAGTCATAGCATCTTGATTCATATGTCGCAGCTAATATATGCAATGGTTGAAATAAGAAATAAAAACCATTTACTTTCCCATAGCGTTCCTTGACAGTGTTGTTTCTAAGTCACCAATTTAGTGCTCCCAATGTAATTTCCCATTGGGAACCTATTAGCATTAAGTCGCTAACTGGTTAGCAAGATGCTTTCAAGACACCGGCCACAACCAAACTTGCTTGCAAACCTTCCGCCACAACAATCCCGCCCCCCTGATAATCGACCAATCACATTCATTTTACTCACTCGCGTAAAGTCGGGCACCACTTTTGAGAATTCGGAAATGCAACGGTTGGAACAGCCGCTTTCCTACAAATTTAATGATTCAAAGAATGGCATTAGAAATGAAAGGGTGGTGTAGGTCATCATTGCATGACACAACAACCAGAGGGATCAACTTTAAGGCAATTTATTCAGCCTTTTGTGCCATCTTTAAGGTATTTGTGTCAGTTTGTCCTGCGACAAAGAGGAATAATATCAGAGAAACAGCTAAAAGACTTACACTAACACTCACCCTGAGAGAAAGATTCAGTCGGTGGTGATGACAGTCTAAATGTATTTCTACAAAATGGGAAGTAAATCTGCTGGCATGTAGATGTGGGTTTGCTTCATCTGACTGTACATCATTCTCACATAGAGGTGCACCATCTTGTGGGTCATTCATCATAGTCTCACTCTTCCACACAATCATTTTGTATTTTATGGTGAGGGTTAAACTCTTTAATATAGTTTGTCTAAGTTACAGTAGCTTTCAAAACCCTACTTAGTAAACACTCAAACCACTTTATAAATGTATTATTTTTTTCACATCTTGATTGATCTAAACGGGAATTCAGTAAGAAGCATTTTAATTGAAATTTAGTAATTTTACTAATGTAATCTGAAAATGCTCGAAAACCTCTTTTAAAATGAAGCATTTTCTTAACCGATAATCCCCTCTGCCATCTTCTCCTCCATATAAAAGATGGTGATCGTCCTTCCAGCTGATCAAATATAATATTTTTAGTTGAGATGATGAGAAAAAACTTGATTCATTCAGTTAAATTCAGAAATGCGTAATTTGTCAAAAACCTTCATTAACAGAGGAATGAAATTCAGTATTTCAAACCCTGCATTTATGATTCAGAATATTTTCCAGCTCTACCGGAGTGAGTTTTGAAAAATAACTCAGTAAGTGTAAATGTTTGTTTTTTTTCAGAATGAAGCAGACAGGACATTGATCTATGTTACGCTCTACATTTCTGAATGCCTGAAGAAGCTACAGAAGGTAAATGTTTACTCTGGTGCATCAGCAGTTCTTGGTGCACCTTTTTAAAAGATATAGTAGTTAAAATGCCTCTGTTAAAGCTAAAAATCTTAAGGAGGAGGTGGTTGATTTGAAATGAATTTTGAAAATGATCCGTTGGGGAATGATGTCTTTTTCAGTGCAGCTCCAGGAGCCAGGGAGAGAAGGAGATGTACACCCTGGGCATCACTAACTTTCCCATTCCTGGAGAACCCGGCTTCCCTCTGAATGCTATGTATGTAAAGCCTGCAAACAAACAGGAGGATGGTGAGTTATGGCTTTAAGAACGCAACAAACATAAACTTCGATGTGTTGAGAATTTCAGAAACCAAACACTTAAAGATGCAAGAGAGAATATTCAGAAAATATTCAAGCTGCTGATAAAAGGGATGAAACATGGATGTTGATTTTTTTTTTTTGTTCCTGTAGAACACATATTAAAAAATTGCTCAAAATCACAACTGACAGTTTTGTAAGTGGTTCAAAAGTGATAAAACGCTGATCAAATTGTACGTTTGGTGTTTTAGAGACCATGAGGGCGTACCTGCAGCAGCTCCGGCAGGAGACTGGGTTAAGGCTGTGTGACCGCGTGTTTGACCCTCAAACAGACAAACCCAGCAAGGTGAAGCTGATGCCTTTTGAGTTTTCTTTCTTTTTTTTATCAGAGTTGGCTCGTTTATAAAGTAGATGTGAAAATATAAAAATTCTTTGAATGCCTGACAATATATATTTTATTTTTGTGCTGCTGTTATCCAATCATTGCATTTTTTTTTTTCTGACGTTGCCCACGATAACGGTAGTTCCACAGATACTATGTTGTTAGCCAAATGCGCTCAACTGAGGAAAAAAAACAACAAAAGAAAATCTATCAGTTTTTCCACCTGCCTTGTAATACAGCATTGTTATTATTATTATTATTTTTTTGCCCGCCTTTAGGTTTTAAATAAGAGTGACTGTATTATTGGCGCCTTAAAACTTCATCAGCTAATCAGAACAAACCAGTTGGAAATGCTTAAGGGTTAGGCTGCGTGTTCTGTGGATACGAGGCATGCTGAGCAAACCGGCTCTGTGTGTTTGTGACCTAAACTATTTCATGTGAAAAAGCTCTGCCCGGGTCAGAATGGAGCCATTTTCTGTAGCTCAGCATTTAAACCCAACCTAGTGAGTTGGTTATTATGGCTGTAAATTTGTGTCACAAGATTAAATAACTAAAGATATTTTTAATGTCACTGTTTATCTCCTGTTTACAAACCAATATATTTCCTCTGTAAAATTAAATATGAACTATATGGCTATTTTCTCCTTTTTGTTAAAGGAGCAATCTTTCTAAACCTTGAACAACTAAAATTCTAGACTTGGATAAATACTTAGGGAGGATAAATATTTCCTATAGATTTTTTATGTTTTTTTTTTTAAACACTTTAAACTCTTCAAAGAAGAATTCAAATGATTTGTTTTCAAACCATTTCTGAAAGTAAAATATAAAGGCCCATGAAAATCTATACAAAAAAAGCATTGAACCTTCATTGCTCATAAATTGTGATTCCTTTATGTAATCTAAAATAATAAACAGCTATTACAGCGTATCCACCGGTCATTAAAAATCATTAAGTCATAAAATTATTATTCTTAAAATTAAGGCCTAAATTTGTATTAAAATTCATTAAATGTGGTTTTTGTGGCATTTAAAATTCTTTATTTAAAAAAAAAAGTTAACAATTTCATTAAATATATATTGCAT